ACTGTACCTTTGTTATGCCCACCAGCCAATCAGGAGTGGGTATGCAAATTAACCCAACAAAGATGGTGGGTTAATTTGTATATGCAGGCTCCATGTTGATGATGCAGGCATTCCACACTGCCCCCGCTGCTCCAGGCCTCTGGGCAGTGTGAGAAGGCGGCTCCAGCCAGAACGAAGGTGGTGCTGGCAGCCAGAGGAAGGAAGGCCTATTCTTGCACAAATCTTCATGCATCGGGCCTCTAGTATAATAATGCTATCCATGTTTCCATCATGTCCCTCCTTCAGTCTATTTTCCACACAAGAGCCAGTTCCTCAGAACTATCCTTTAGCTCACATTCCATTCAGAGGAAAGAGGAAATTCTTTCAAAGGCCTCTACGACTTACCCTTCATCCCAGTCACTATGGTCTTCGTACTAACAAGCCAAGCTATCCTCACCTTTTCCTTCTGTACTTGTACTTCCTTTTCCCTCTGTCTAGAATTTCCTTTTCCCAAGTTCACACATGGCCTCTCTCTCAGTATCTTCAAATATCTGAGAGGACTTTTCTCCCCAGCCTATCTAAAACAGCACCCCACTTATTTCTGTCCCTTTTCCCATGCTATTTTTCTTCACAACACTTACCACCACCTGATCCATGGTATATCTGTTAACATCCATTTGTACTAGTGGCTATTTTATTGGACAGCATAGCCTCAGAGTGAAAACTGTGTGGTGGTAAGAAGAGAAAAAGAAACATGTCCATGGGGAAGGAGAGGCAGAACGGGATGTTGTCACAGAAGCTGACGGAGGAGAGGAATGAAGAATAGTAGAGTAGGAGGGATGAATGCCAGACTAAAGGATGTCAAAGACAAATGCAATTGTCTTTGTCCATGGGTTATGCATATATGCATATAAGTTCCTTGATTAATCTCTCCCCACCCACCACTATGCTCCACCTTCCCTTTGAGATTTGTCAGTCTGTTCTATGCTTCTATGTCTCTGTGTCTATTTTGTTCATCAGTTTATTCTGTTCATTAGATTCCACATATGAGTGAATTCAGACAACAGTGTGGTGAAGGCCTGGGGGCGGGGGACTGATAGGTGCAATGTGGAGAGGGGTCGATGAGAAAAAAAGGGCACATATATAATACTTTCAACAGTAAAGGTAAATTTAAAATAATAATTAAAAATTATTTTAAGTAAAGCACAATTGATGTTTTTAGGAGTAAATCAGAAAATTGAGAGTTTACAATATCTACATTATGAGAATGAGAAAATGCTAGTCAAGATAAGAGACATCAAGCAAACAGTTGCCTAATTAATAAGACTCTTGCCGAAACCGGTTTGGCTCAGTGGATAGAGCGTCGGCTTGCGGACTCAGGGGTCCCAGGTTCGATTCCGGTCAAGGGCATGTACCTTGGTTGCGGGCACATCCCCAGTGGGGAGTGTGCAGGAGGCAGCTGGTCGATGTTTCTCTCTCATCGATGTTTCTAACTCTCTATCTCTCTACTTTCCTCTCTGTAAAAACTCAATAAAATATATTTTTTAAAAAAAAGACTCTTAAAAGTTTTTATGGGTCTCAGACTGAGGTTAATACTGTGGAATGTCAACCACCAAATAAAGCAAGGTTTATAAAATAGTCTCTTAACTATGAGAGATTTTATAACTCTAGTGATGCTTTTTAGTCTTTATTTAACCAACAGTTCTCTACTAATATGTGGCAGGTCACTTAAGTTCTAGACCTCTGCATTTAAAATTATAATTGATCTACATTTCCACATAAAAGTACAGTTATATTCTCCTTTTCTAGAAAAGAATGCCAAACTACTATATATATATAAAATTCCTCTCTAGTACCCAGTACATAATATATTTTACCTTTAATGTAACTATAAATATTTTTAGCAATACATTTTCCCTTAAAAACATCTATAAGGAAAATTTCCAGTATTTCCCAAACTTTTTAAATCAAGTTACAACTGACATATGACATTTTATTATTTCCAGGTGTACAACGAAACAATTTTATATATTTACTAGAGGCCCAGTGCATGGATTCATGCACTGGTTGGGTCCCTCGGCCTGGCATACACCCTCTCACAATCCAGAACACCTCAGGGGATGTCAGACTGCCAGTTTTGGACCAATCCCCATAGGCCAAGCCAAGGGACCCCGCCGGTGAATCCATGCACCAGGCCTCTAGTATACTTATAAGATCTTTGGTTAATCTCTTCCCACCTTCCCCTCTCCTCCTTCCCTCTGAGATTCATCAGTCTGTTCCATGTTTTCATGCCTATGTATTGAGCATTTGCTCCCTGGTGGTCAGTGTGCATCATAGCTACCAGTCGAATGGTCACATGGTTGGATGGTCAAATACTCATTTAGGCTTTTATATACAGAGACTTCAAAATCATCACCACAATAAGTCTAATTAACATCTTTCACCATATATACAGATACAACATACACCAAATTTTAAATTTTAAAATATAATCTACATTTGCAGCAAGTATAGGAAAACCTCTGTTCTAAAATTGGCATTGCTGACAATGAAAGATAATTTCATTTTTAATTATAGCAATACAAATTATATTTTAAAGTGAAATATTTTTCCTTTTCATTTCTTCCTTCATGCTTCATCACTGCTGAATTTTAAAAAATGTTAACGTGAAGACTAAAAAAAATCTACTAGGGATGACAGCCTTTAGAGATAATGATAATAATAGCTGACATTTTCAAAGCACTCTGTGATTTACAACTCTTTAATCTAGATTGTCTCTTTAATTATCACAGCACTCCCTAGGAGTTAATAATATTATGTATAATTACTCCCAGTTTAACAATAAGAAAGCTGAGTTAATAAGTAGCAGAATATTAGGAGTGAGGTGTTTGAACTTTAAGTTCAGTACTCTTTGCAAGGCAACTCTCCCCTAGGTAAACCTATAAAGGCCCGGTGCACAGATTAGTACACCAGTGGGGTCCCTCGGCCTGCCCAGCAGGGATTGGGCCAAAGCTGGCAGCTGGACATCCCCCAAGGGATCCCAGAGTGTGAGAGGGCACTCTGCAAAGTTGCTGTTGCTCAGCAGCTCCTGCATTTACTTCTGCTCCCTGGTGGTCAGTACACGTCATAGCTACCAGTTGGTTGGCGGGTGGCTTAGGCATTTATATATATGGATAGCTTTCTGATCTCTCTTATTTTTCTCAATATATCATTAAATACTAACAGTATAATCAAGGCAATATATAATCTATATGTAACCTGATACTTCTGTATATCAAATATTATTTATCATTAGAAAAGTATTTAATATCTATACTTATCTTGCTTTAAAAAATAGCCTTAATCCTAAGAGAAAAAAACTTTAGGGTAAATTACATGAAGGGAATCCCATGTTTATCACTGATTCCTATTGGGGAAAATATCCTCGTAAGTCAAATTCAAAAAACCTGTGTGATGGAACATTACAATTTAGAGCAAATTTGGAGCATAACAGATATAATTTATGAAATTTTTAAACAAAAGTTCACTCTCCATTTTCTGAGAATGTTGCCAATAGAATTAGGCAACAGGGACACACTTCACCAAAATGCCCTGTGAAAAGACAATGTGCTTAATATTCATTCAATGATATAATTAGGCATCTATTAAGGGTCAATTATCTTTCCTTCAACTCTTCTATGTCAGGTAGATTAGAGCAAATAAGTATTTTCCTTTTCTAATTTATTCAAGTTTAATTATATCAAATAACATACATTTGAGAGATAATCATAAGTTATTGAAACTAAAACTATACATAAGTAAATTGAGTACATTTTAGTAATCTTTTCATAATATAAACTAGAAACAATTGAGTAATATCTGTTTTAATCATGGTTTTTCAACATTAAGTTAGTCATTTCACTGCTAATAGTTTATATGGTGTTAATTATAATAAATAAAATACCAGTTAACAACTTTCACCATATAAACAATCAATAATCAACAATGACTATTTAATGTTACTGGAGCAAAATTCATTGTACAAAGAGGCTCCATTCAAAAGAAAATTAGCAAACTCAAGTAATAATTCAAAGGCTTCAGGAACTGAAACAGTACACCAGGCAGCACTCTGAAAAAATCTGCTGGTCAAATTCCCAGTGCTTCCATTTGGTGTCTATACAAAGTCACAGTGAGTGTCAGAGCCAACAGCGTAAATCACTTCTGAGAATTGGAACTGAGAATAGATAGAATGCTGGTTCTAGTAACATATTATTCTGTGGGTCATCATACACTTGTCTAAAATGTAAAATGCCAAATAGTACATTCTATGATATTTTGTGTATCTATTTTTTTGTTTTAATATTATTCTTTAACAAAGGAAGCCTTTTTTATTATGTTAATAAACATTAATGACCAAGGTTTGATCTGTCTCCACTCCATATCTAAGCATTGATTTTCCATCTAACATTGTCTTAGAGGAGAGCCACACAGGTCAACACATTTACATATTTGTCTTTATCAGAGTAACACTGTTTATCTAAATTTGTTCACTTAAAATTGCATGGCTTCCATTAGTTTTAGAAAAAAAGAAAGATGTGGAGAGGTTTCACTTTTAAGTGTTTCCTCTCTGTATAAATCATGCTATAAAATTGCTAAATAACAGTTTCCTCTTCCTCTGTGTTTCCTATAATTTTATGATTTTTTTCAGAAATCAGCTTATCCTCACAGGGTAAAATTTGACAAACCATGAAAAGATTATCATAATACAAAAGGAAGTGAATGTTATATAACAAATTCACCACCTTCTACACAGCCCCCTGCATTCTATTCTTGTTGATGAGTTGCAGTTGTGAGCATTCTGGTCATATGTTCAATTAATGTGAGAGTGACAGCTTTCACATTCTTTCAAACTAGAACTTAAATATAATTCAGTTTTCCAGAATTAAAGGTCTGGTACATTAACTGCTGTCCACATATTAGCCTCATTCAACTCTTTACTTTTATTTAGTCCTAAATAAAATGAGGGGGGGAAAAAAAGTCATTTAAAAATTAACATACTCAGCTGCCTGTTTCCATTGCTTCAAGTCTTTCTTCAAATTTTTGTTTTCATTTTCTAAAACCATATTCTGGGTATAGACATCTGGAACATCCCCAACTTCTTTCAGTTTGGTTACTCCCTTCTGTATCAATTCATACCTAGGATAAAATGAAAGAAAAAAAAAGGCTTTAAGTTGTTTCTTTCAACTAAACTGCTAAATTTATGTACCATTCAAAACATCAATTCTGGGGGAAAGTTTATAGAAATTATTTGTAATATTACTTTATAAATTAAAATGTCAACATTCATAATATATTTTTAAATAATAATTAATAAATTGCTGGGTTCAAATATCATCATGGTGCATAAAATATAACTGAATATCTCCTATGTTTCATGCACTAAGGTAGACACTGGTAAAATTAACAAAATGGTTCAGTGCTCTGTCTAATGAAGTTTCCATTCTAGTGTGGATGGTGATATGTTCTATATGAAGTAAAACAAGCAGGGTAACAGGGATTAATTTTTTATGTTTTTATTGAACCAGCGAAGTTTCCGGTCCTCTCCAGCTTGGAGATGCTTCCACTAATGCCGTGTTGACATATTTTATATAGGATGGCCAGAGAGAATATCACTGTGACTGACAAAGTGACATTTGAGCAGAGAACTGAAGGAAATGAGAGACTAAGCCCGTGATGGCGAACCTAGGACACGCGTGTCAGAGGTGACGCGCGAACTCATTTTTTTGATTGATTTTTCTTTGTTAAATGGCATTTAAATAAATAAAATAATTATCGAAAATATAAATCTTTGTTTTACTATGGTTGCAAATATCAAAAAATTTCTATATGTGACACGGCACCAGAGTTAAGTTGGGGTTTTTCAAAATGCTGACACGCCGAGCTCAAAAGGTTCGCCATCCCTGGACTCAGCCATGTAGATATGTGGGAGAGTATTCTTGGCTGATAGAAAGAATTGTAAAGGCTCTGAGACAAGGAAGTGCGTGGCATGTACAATAAAGAGAAAAAAGCCAGTCTATGGAGAGTTATCTCATGGAAGAGATGGGTCACGAAGACAGCAGGGAGCCAGAAAAAGGAATGTGATTTTACCCTGAATCAGACTGAAGCCATGGGTAGGCTTTCAGAGATAAGGGACCTGTCTCACACCTGCTCTAGTTTCACTAAACTAAGTCTAGAGGAGCAAACGTAGAAGCAGAGAGACTAGCTCAGAGCCTGCGACAATAGTCCAAGAGAGAGAGAACAGTGGCATGAACAAAGTTGGTAGCAGAGGAGATTAAGAAAATGGGCCCCTTCTGGACATGCTGTAAAGGTGGAGCCAACAGGGTTTTCTTATAGATTAGCTGTCAGGGGATGGTTAGAAAGAGAAGCCAAGGCTGATTCCAAGGTTCCTGGCTGAGCAGGAACCTTGGCAGTTCCTGCCATTTACTGATACAGGGACAAATGCCATAGGAACTGGATGATTAAAGAAATCAAGGGATTGTTCTTATTCATGTTAAATTCAATATGTCTTCTGGACAATCAAGTGAAGGCGAATACTGGATATACATGTCCAGAGTTCAGGAAAAATGTCAGGACATGTACTTTAACTTTGGGACTCATCAGGGCATAGATACTATTTAAAGTCACAAGACTGGATGAGGCCAGCTAGGGAGAGCATGTAGACAAGTGAAGAAGTCGAGGACTGTTTACGGATGGGAAGAAAAGGAAATACTATTACATAGAGACTAAACAAGAGAAGAAGCCGTGAAGTAATGGGAGAATACGAGAGTTGTGGCTCAGGAACCAAGTGAATACAGTGCTGCAAGGAAGAAATGAATGACAGTGACACACGCCACAAGGAGGGTGAATAAGAGGAATACTGAGGATCAACTGCTCAATCTGGCAAAACGAAGTCACCGAAAATGGTTTCAGGAGAGTCATGGAGACGAAAGTGAAACTAGAGCAGGTATGAGAGAGTTGGAAAGGAGCAAGTGGCAACAAGCTCTTCCAGGGATACATGCTATAGAGCAGAGCCAAGAAATCAAGATGAACCTAGAAGAGGATATGGAGTTCAGGGAATGTTTTTATTTCTCTTTTTTAAAATACATGACACACATTATTGCACATCTGTATGCTTATGGGAATGATCTAGCAGGAGGGGGGACAAGCTAAAAGTGCAATAAAGAGAGGGGGCAATTGGAGGAGCAATGTCCTGGAATGAGCCAGAGGAGCTCTGTCCAGGAGGGAAGAGGAGGCCTTAGGTGTCAGGTGGAAGAGAATGACTGAGGACAGGGGCAGCAGGTTGGGAGAGAGGGAGGCAGGGGTCGTGGCGCTTCTATTTCCTCAGTGAAATACGAAGAAACATCAGAGAATCATTTATAGATTTGTAAATAATTACAATTTTAATCTTTATATGTAGAAATTAATAAAGCTAAGTAAAAAACAGTAATAAAAACATTTCAAGTAATGAAGTTATTAGTAAATGCATCTTTATAAATCTTGCTATGAATGGGCAGAGCATTTGTCTTAAAATGTTTAATTATCAGTATTTTCATATTACAAATCTTAACTTTATTATTATGACACATTAATAGTCATATGTTACCTGAAATTAAAAAAAAAACAGCAAGGGAAAGGTTAAGATAATTGAGTCAATAGTAAGTAATATTTGCCATGATTTCTAAAACAGAAAATTGATAACCATTTAATCATAAATTCACTTTTTATCCATATTTCAGATGTGATTTATACTTATCTCAGAAGAAAAGGCATAAGGATTGATTGAAGTATTGGACCATAAAGTTTTTCTGAGCATAAAATTGGTTTCAGCAACTTCCTTTATTTAATGCAGAAAGAAATCACTAAAAAAATTACTTCAGTAAGAAAAAAAAAAGGTGATATAGAATCCTCTAAAATAAACACTATGTAAATAAATTAATATGTGGTAAAATAAGTAAAAATCAAACATAACATATATTACAACATCTATATCTAAGACATTCAAAAGTTACTTTACCAAAGAAAATTTATAGCATTATGTAAAAATACCGGTTGACATTAAACTCACTAAAACTAGTATAATACTATAAGGTAAGTCTAACTACAAACTGGAAATTTCTCAGTAAAATCTGCATATTCCTACGTAAGGTTTTTGGTTCTGTGTGTGTATTTTATTTTACTTTTTGAAATTTTTAAAATTTATTTCAGAGAGAGGAATGGGGAGAGAGAGAGAGAGAGAAATATCAATGATGAGAGAGAACCATCGATCCATCAGCTGCCTCCTGCATGCCTCCCTACCCCCACCACTACCTCACTCCACCCAACCCCTTATACCCTTGTACCCATGAAAATCCAGCCTGAAACCCAGCATATGCTCTGACCTAGAATAGAACCGTGACCTCTTGGTTCATGGGTCAATGTTCAACCACTAAGCCCTACTGGCTGGGCTGTGTGTGTATTTTAAAGAAATATCCTGGTCTTTTTTATTCCTTCCTCCTTAGTCACTTCCCTTAAATTAAGACTGAAAACTATTCGGATATAAGTATTAGGGACTAGAAATACAATTTACTACCAATAGAACTGCCGATTAATTACTGCCAATAAATTTACGTTACGGTCGACAAACTAATTACAGTTCTATACAAATTGAGTAAATACATATATTTCATGGAGAAAGTATACAGGCTTTCATAAGATCTGTGCATACACCAAAAGACTTTAAGACCCACTGCCACAAATGGATACTAATATGCTAGAATTTCAGTGAATATATAAAAAGTGCAATAAGAGTAAGCATCGTTTTTCTTTGTGATGACTTTTGTTCCAATAAAATCTTCTTTATGAAAACAAAAGGTGAACTAGAGTTGGCTCAAGGGTCTTAGTTTGTGGACCCCAAGTTAAAAAATGTATTTCAATTACTGTTTGAGAATTGAAAGGACACTGAAATCAAATTTCAGTACCCAGGTTGTTGTTTTTATAATATTTCTGTTTGTTTTACAAACTAACAATAGAAAAACCTTAGTTGCAACTCTTTGTAAGATGCAAGAATTCCTGGCAATGATATATGTTTTTTCTCCATAATAAGAATGATAGAAGTAATTATTTAACATTCCTATAATCCTATTATGCAGGACAGGTAAAGGTTTCTGGTCAATGTCAAAACGTTACATGTGAAATAAAAATATCCAATACAGTATAATCTTAGTACAAACAATGTGCAATCTCATTACAAACTGGCTGCCAGGGATAAGGATAAAATTATTAGAACCACAGTACGACTAGACCCAAATAATATGATATTTTAAATAAATTTTTCTTTCTGATTGTAATATTATGCTAAATGGTATGCTTACTTGGGGTTCTAAAATTCCTAGCACAATTGCAGTTTCCTGACATTTCATCTCAATTCAAACTGCTAAATCTCAAAGGACAATATGGCAAGTACCTAATTGTTAAGAGTATACTTAGTTCCACATGTCTCCAAGGAGATCATGTCACACTTTAGACTGGCCAAACATGTAAGCACCACATGTCCTATTCTCAGAAGAAGAAAAGGTAATTGAACCACATTAATCTTTCATTTTATTAGTACCACAAATTAACCATCTGTCTACTTGTACAAAAATATATTTCTAATACATTTGTAATTATTTTAGGGACATTTTTATAAAAAACATTCACATGATTTCCAGATTTAATAGGAACAGTATTATTTTCTTCCATCAAACTTGTCTTTTCCCTGAATTATAATAATGAAAAATGGTTCTCCTCGTTTAATGCATTAACATTAGATATGCAATTTAAAATAAGAAAACCACCTGGCCAGCATGGCTCCGTGGTTGAGCATCCATGGTTCAATTCCTGGTCAGGGCACATGCCTGGGTTGCTGGTTGGACCCCCAGTGTGGGGTATGCAGGAAGTAGCCAATCAATGATTCTCTCTCATCATGGATGTTTCTATCCCTCTCCCTCTCCCTTCCACTCTGAACTCAAATATATATATATATATATATTTAAAAAAGTGATTTCTTCTATATGTATGGCCCAAGTAGATGAAAACCAAAAAACAAAAAGAAAATAAAAATTACGCTACAGTTGGATTAGTAGAAATTACAAATTACCCCTATATTTAAAACTAGGATTAACTAAAAAACATTATAAACATCTTTATATAGCATATTGTTCCCTCTTTCTATAATATGCAATGGCTTTTAAAGATCAAAATTTCATATCTGATTACTTAATAATATTTTGTTAAAGAATAGGCCATTGCGCCCCAGCTGGTTTGGCTCAGTGGATAGAGCATTGGCCTGCTGACTGATGGGTCCCTGGTTCAATTCCTGTCAAGGGCACATGCTTGGGTTGTGGGCTCAATCCCCAGTAGGGGGCTTTCAGGAAGCAGCCCATCAATGGTTCTCTCTCATCATTGATGTTTCTATCTTTTTCTCCCTCTCCCTTCCTCTCTGAAATCAATAAAAATATATTTAAAAAAATCACTAAGT